ATTCCTCTCTAAATGAATTCAAGACATCTTGAATACTTGTTTGGACGAGTCAAAACATCACAGATTTGGGCAGAAATCGTCAGATATCATCAAAATTACATTTGAGACCAGTGGCGTCATTTCAGATATCTTAAATTATATTTTAACTCAGCAAAATTTCTTTTTAAAATGTCTTTAATTGTTCTTCTGACTRGTCAGAATGTAAATGCAGAGATTTTAAATTACCATTCAGGATAGTTCCTGGTCAAAACTTTTTTAGATATTTAGAATGTAATTACAGAAAGTCACACAAAGCTGATTTTATGCTAAAATGGCCTGCCATATAGGGTCGGCCTCCACAGAACTGCAGGGGGAAGACACAACTCAAGCTTTGATGTTTTCATGCAGAGCCTGCAGAACCCAATCACCATCTTTGGGTTCCTCCTGTCTGAATCAGCTCATCAAGGCCGCTCTGATGCATTCCAGCTCGCTCAGCCGTCTCCTTTTATTTATTTTCTATTAATAACCTGACTGTTTGTTGGATCCTGGTGTGGAACTGAAAGGCCCGGTCAGACCGGTCCAGATGAAGGAGTTCGATCCTCGATAAGAGCACAGCAGAAATCAAAGGACGGGTGACGGATGTTCTGCAGCTGCGCTCCTCATGTGTACAGCACATATTTTAGTTTATAACTCCACGTTGGCCCCAAACATCTCTGCTTTTTACGATTTTCTTCCTCATTCGCCAGCTGCTCCGCTCGTCTGCTTCCCATTTAGCTTTTGTTTTTCAAAATTCCTTTATTCTTAATTAATCCCACAGACAGTAAAAAATCTTAAGTTTCACGACAGAAGTGTTTTAAATCATTAGCGATGATGCACTGGAACTTATATGACCGAACTTAAGGCGTGGCGGGGGGGTGAAGCCTCCCACCGAGCAGCTGCCACCTCCGTCTGTCATCATTTCTTCTTCTGTTTATCCGTCTCGCTCTCACAAGTGGAAACGCTGAGTTTTGAAGAACGAGATAATGAGGAAGAGGAAATAAAAGACTTTAAAACCACAAACATCTCTGCCTCCAAACAGTCATCCTCACTTTAAAGTGATCCAGATTTAAAATGAAAAGGCCCAGCAACTCTGACCAGTTGTGACATTGGATATAACTGATAAACATTTACTTCAACTATAAAAACTATACTAAAAATAAATAAAATATTACAGGATGTAGCTTGAGCGTTCATCTTAGACAACGTTTGACATTTTAAATTAAACTGGAGCTTGTTGACAGACAGGAAAATGTAGAAATGACTCAGCCTGCAACTGAAAATGATGACGGAGGAAAACAGCTGCTTCATGGAAGAACAACCTCAGTTTAACTTTTTAGATTTTGTGTTAGCTCCTGAGCTAATTTATACACTCCTGATCAAAATCTTAAGTCCAGTCAAAAAAATGCAAGAATTTGCATTTTGCACTATTGGATCTTAAGAAGGTTCTAAGTAGAGCTTCACAATGTTAAAAGAAGAAATCAGTGCAAGAGACAAGAACTTTTGAGTTGGGAATTAATTGACAACTGCATTTACACTCAAACATGATTTTTTTCAGCTGATCAAAAGTTTAAGACCATAGCTCAAAACAACCTGAAAACCCCCCAAAACAGAAATCAAAGTGTCAAAAAAAAGGACTCAGTAATGAATAGCTC